CAAATTGAAACTGGGATTGTGCCATGCACCATTTTAAAAATAAAATACTGTGTCACTCCGAGTCTCTAGAAAATACTAGAAAGAAAGGTGGTTCCACCCAGAGAACCTCTGGTGCATGTCTGAGGGAATTAGCAGAGGAATTCTAGAGACGAATTCAGGAATAAAATTTGTAGCAAATTGTCATGTTTGTCTCAAACCCATTCCTTAGGTAAACATTGGTGGGCTGGCTACCAAATTCCATCAGGTGTTTGACTTGCAAAGCAGTGGAGTTGATGTAGAGATAACAGTGCTAATTGTTCGGACTTTCAGGACAATGCTTTGAGAACGCAGACAGAAAAATACCTTCTCCTATAGTCCTGTGTGCTGCTTAAAATTGACTTTGATTCTACATATCTCTGTGAGTGTGTTCTCCCACAATTGCAGATAATCAAGTCCTAGTTTCACACCCCCCACACCCCCACTACTGTATATACAACTAAAACCTCAAACTAAACTTAGACTTTAAGGCTGTGGCAGATAGTGTGCAGTCACGTGCATCATATTGAGATTGAGTGAAGAGAGGACAAAATAAATATTTCTGCATGGTTTATGATTTTATATCACCAAAAACAAATTTAATTCTATATTTTCTTCAGGATAGAGCTTGGATTGCACTTAAGGCCGCTTATCCAATTTAAAGGTTGGAGATCTTGCTGTAGGAGATTAGAAATGGGGTGAGGCTACACTCTGAACTAACACAGATAACAAGGTAGTCAGGAAGATCCTTTTCATTTTCCTGTAACATCCAGTCACTGCTTGGCTTTTGGATCCAGTAGAGTGTTTGGTTAAGCTAAAAATAAATAGCTGGAGAAACTGTGGAAGAAAATGTTTAATGCTTTGATCCAGTGACCCTCCTTCAGAATGCTCTTCTGATGAAGTGTCGCTGGATCTGAAATGTTATCTCTGTTTTCTCTCCACTGATGTTGCCAGGCCTGCAGAGTTTCTCCAGCCATTTGTTTTTGTCTGAAATTTCCACAGTTCCTTTTGTTTTTGTGCTTAGACCATTCGGTCAGATGTGCTACCTACAATATTTAAACTGCCCTCACCCAGTTTAAGCCACAGTTGGAATATTAAGCGCACAACATCGGAGGATGCTGGAACCTTGGAAAGGGGGCAGTGAAGATTCTGTAAGGATGTTAACAATGAAGGGGTAGCTAATTGCACTTGGTTCTACACGAGACCAGAGAACTATGGCCAACATGACTGTGTCACCAGTGCCTGTCAATCGTCATGCCTTTCACTCCAGTCCAGGTCATCTCTTGCTCTTGGAGGTCCTGTATAGATGTAATTGCTAGGCCAGCTCTGGCCAACCCATCACAGTTGTCTTCTGCCTGGTGTCCATTCTATTCCCTCTGGCAGGGGTGTACATTTCAAAATCTGAAATAGGCATTTGCTGCTGTCCTCTGCTATCTCTCTCTCTCTTTCCATCACGAAATCCCACAGGCAGCTTTGAACTGTCTGCAGTGGCATTCTGGGGGTGATACTTTTGGTATAGTTGGGAAGAAATGCTGACATTCAATTATAAATAAAGTAACGTGTTCTGAGAGGTCTAGCCGTTTAAGACAGAGGTTTCATAAAACCAAAGGGGCGTGGTTGACACTTCTGAATTCTTTACAAAAAAGGACTTGGACTACTGACACATACATGTAATTTTAAAAATGTTTAAGAAGTGTACGATTCTTTGCAGGCCTTTTATTTATGTCCAAACAAAAGCCAAAACTGCTGGGAAAACTCTGGTCTGGCAGGGTCTGTGGAGAGAAAGCGGAGTTAACATTTCAGGTCCAGTGACCCTGCTCTAAAACCGTGTTTGCAATTACGTAGTGTTATGCACAACATCGACATCCTGATCCGTTCAGCCTCTATTATGAGCTGGTGAAATGTAACTTGCAGCAGCCAGTTTGTGCACTGCAAGTTCCCACAAATGGTAATTACAGCACCACAGTTAATTGGTTGATGTTGGCTGATTGGTAAGTATTGACTTGGACACCATGGGGAAAGGGAAAGTGATACCTCCTGACAGTGTAGCACTTTCCTGCAGTACTGCACTGGGGTGTCAGCCTGAGTTTGTGCTCAAGTCTTCAGCGACACTTGAAAGCAGCACGGCTTTTTGATTCGGTGAACGTGTGACCCACTGAGCTAGAATTGTTGGACTGAATGGCTGGGGCCTAAAGTTTCTTATTTGATCTCCAGCTCTGCGCATAATTTTGAGATTAACAGCTTCATTCTTTGTTGTACTAGCTTACAACCTTTCATGCTGGGCAATTTGATGTTGAGCTCTGTGGCTTCTCACCCCTTGTCACCATCCTGGTGCAGACTTGATGGGCTGAATGGCCTATTTCTGCACTGTAGGGATGTTATGATTCTATGTCTGCCCTATATTGATTCTGGACCCACACATCGGCTCTTAACTACCTCCTGAAGTGTCTCAGCAAGCCATTCTGTATCCAGGGAAACTTGATGGGCAATAAATTCTGGCCTTGGCAGCACATCACCCACGTTCCAGGAATCAATCGGAAAAAGATAATATACTGCTTCAGCTATTTACCCAGTCTTCCCTGCAAATGATGCATTGGTCTCTGCCTCGTGAGAGATTTACTGTCTCTGTCTGTCTTGATTTTATCAAATAAAAACTGATATTCAGCAGCTATTTGCCACACGCTAGTGGAGGAGACAAGATGTGCTGGGTGCCTTTTGAGGCAGATTGCAATATGCCAATCTTATCAATAATCAGGAGTCTGAATGTCTGTGGGTCCCTGCATTTAAAAGGGAATTTTTTCACTTGTTGAATCAGGCACTCAATGATCCAGTGGCCCCTAAGGGATTTGTCAGCTCCCTATCTTAAAACCAACCGAAACAATGGGTATTGCTACTCTCTGCTGATTTGTACATCCTCCATGTTCAGAATGGCTGGAAGGTCTAGCCTCCATTCCACCATTAGTTGCTCTAAGTCCTTGGTGTTGTCTCTACAGAGGGGCTTCTGTTAATGGTTTAACACATCAAAGAGAGAATCTGTCCCCCTCTTCTAGACCAAGACAGACCCGGGTTGCTAGAATTTAAGCAGCAGGCTGAATTAAGACCAAAATGAATGATAAAACTGCAAGGTTACTGAAGTAAACATGAGATTTGCTTCTTGGAAAGAAAAGTAAGGGCAGTATTCAAATCCATCTTGCTATGCCTGTGGTTAAGTAAGGCCCCACCTTGTGTAACTGCACCTGAAACTGGTTTAGATGTTTGTACCTAGTTGTGGTTAGTTGAATATATAAGTTTAGTGGGAGGAAGAAAGGGTAGCAGGAACAGTTTGTGTAATCCCAGCTATATGTTAGTTCGATTTGTTTGTTAGATTCCGTGCTGGTCCTTTGTTCCAGTTTGATTTCTTAAAATTTTGCTCTAAATAACCTGGGTTGATCAAGTTTGTTAAAGAGTGTAGAATCATAGGCATGAATCTTTTGGCCTGTTGTACGTGTACTAGCTTTCTGAAAGAGCTATCCAATTAATAGCAGTATCTGGAAAGACAACAGGAACAGGGGCCATTCAGCCCCTCAAACCTGCTTGATCATTCAATTGGATCATGATCAATCTGTACATCAATTCCATTTAACTCGCCTTAATTTGAATTATTGTTGTCACATGTACCTGAGTACATTGAAAAGTTGTGTTTTGTGTGCAGTACAGGCAGAGCATAACCATACGAAGTGTATTAGGGCAATAGAACAACAAGGAATACAAATCTTAACTCTATCTCTAATAACATAACCTATTGGGGAAAAGATTTGTAGGTCTCCACTACAATTCTTGTGGAAATTGCCTTTTACCAATTTCATTCTTTAGACTAATGTTAAGATCCTATTCCCTCATTTTTAAAAAAACATTGTATTAGTTTTTGTGTATCTACTTTATCAAATTATTTTTAATGTGGTTAAATCAGATTAACCCACTGTATACTTCTATACTTTAGGCAATGGAAACCAAGGTTATGTAACCTGCTGCTCACATTTTATCTCTTCAATCCCAGTAGCATTTTCATGCCTGTACATTAATTTCAAATCAGTCCCATTTCCTTCTTGGTATTTGAATTTGCTTCTGTCACCTTTTTTTTGAGGCAGAGCCATTCACATCCTCATTAGTTGTTACAATCTATTTAAATTCTCCATTCTTCTCAAGTTCTCTTGCTAATTATCTCAAATCTGTGTCCTGTAGCTTTCAGTCTCCTCCTGTCTCTGAAAACTATTTCTCCTCATTTACTTCATTGAAAGCTCTCATTAGGATATCACATTCCCTGCATTCAGACTTGAATACAGATGGGTGTGAAAAGATCAGAGAATCTTGGAATGTAGAATATGTCACTTGAGTGTATTGGTGTCCTTCAAAAGATTCACTGTTTCTCTTCAGGAGCATGAGCAACATGATAACAGGAAGAGGCTATCTGCTCCCTATAGCCTGCCTCTTCCAGTCCTGATAACCTTGTGCGTAGATAAACTTCTCTCTCCACCCCTGCCTGAAAGCACAGGATCCCCTAGCTGGGAGAGGCAGATTATAATCATGTGGTGGGAGGTTTATATAGAATCTTTGTGCAAATAGAGGGCGTTTGGCCCATTGAGTCTGCACTGACTCTCTGAAGAGCACCCCACCCTATCTCTGTAACCCCACTTTTACTGTAGTTAACTCATGTAGCCTGAACACTCTGGAGCAATTTAGAATGGCCAATCCACCTCGGGTGAGGCAGGACCTATTCTTTGATATTATTCAGACCACCTTTTAGGTGATAGAGAGTGGCCTGGGAGAGCGTTGTTTTCCTGGTGATCCTATTGTCTTCCATTTTGTAGAAGGTCATCTGTACCCCTTCCAGAAATAGGCCGAGCTCTCACTTGAAGGAACGAGAACGTTTGGGGGAATATTGTGTGTCATGTTTAAGTTGCTAAACTAAAATGAATATTTCCCCCGCCCCCTTCCCATTTCAACAGCCTGCTCAGAAGAATGGCCAGATTTCTGGAATTCCTAGCAATTCAGAGGATCAAGAGCCGCTCGATGGAAAAGTGGAGCATCTGAATGGGCTCCAGGAGGAAGCCGTTCCTGGCGAAGGTAAGCTAGTGAGATTTTGTTTTGGGGGTTGAGGGGAAAGCATTGTCGGAGAGAGTTAGTCCGTGCTGACAATGTTCCCAACCTAAACTGGTCCCACTTGCCTGCATTTGACCCATCTTCTTCAATCTTTCCCATTCATGTACTTACGCAAGTATTTTCAAATGTTGTAACTGTATCTGCATCTGCCACTTCCTCTAGTGGTTTATTCCACACACAAATTACCTTCTGTGTAAAATTGCCCATGTCCTTTTGAAATCTTTCTCCTCTCATCTTAAAAATATGCCCCCGGACAATTGGAGGCAGCTCGATGCTGTAGTGGGTGAGACCTTTCGCTACTGTGTTCAGGCTTTCAAATTGGCCTAGATTGGATAAGCCTCTTGTTTCATGGCTGTAAGTGCTGTGTATTTTTTTAAAGAAAAAATGAAGGGACAGAATCAATTCAGTCCCCAGTGAGTGCATGCCCACACACGCACTGCTACTTTGTTAGTTTTATGGCTGGATTTAGTATTTACTGGTGAGAGTCAGTGTAAAAATGGTGGAGGATGCAATTGGCCTTTTTTACTTGGACCAGAGGCATTTTCAGACAGTGAAGTCAGCTTTACTCTGCATCAGCTCCTTGCTGGATTTAACCTGGGGACTGCTTTACTGGGTACTGGAAATGGACAGCCATCATTGCTGACATAACGTTCCACCCCAAACCCCGCCACCCATCCCTCTGTCTCCCCGCCCCCGCCCAATGCACACTGTTATATAAGAAAATGAAGACTTGCATTGGGGGAGAAAATAACTTGTTTTAATGCTGATTTGAAAGCTTTAAAAATTCTTGTCTCAACGTTTGGGGAAACTGCTTGTGTGGGTTACTCTTTTATGCAATTAATTGAACTGTTCTATATATGCAAGTGCATGCTTGTTGAGACCACTTTGCAGTTATTGTTTATATGGCATCATGGAACGTGGTTCTTGGTGTCCACTGCAATCAATTTGCTGTACTTTATTGAAATTGTTTCCCTATTGTGCTGAAACCTGTGCTAGTGGTGATCTCCTAGAATAGTGTTACAGCCATACAAGAGTGCTGTAGTCAGTAAGGAAACACTATCAGGCTTGCTGTTGACTGGGTCAAGCTATAGGTTTTGATTAAAGCCACCACCATCTGTCAACAGTTGTAGCCAGCAAAACCAGCACCACCATTTCAGCCGCTAACCAGTGGGTCCAGGATGGGTGAAATGAGCATGAAATTCGGGTGACAACACAGTGTGGAGCTGGAGGAACACAGCAGGCCAGGCAGCAACAGAGGAGCAGGAAAGGTGACGTTTCGGGTCAGGATCCTTCAGAAATGGGGGAGGGGGTAGGGAGCTCTGAAATAAATAGATAGAGGAGGGGTGGGGTTGGGGAAGGTAGTTGGGATGGTGATAGGTGAGTGCAGGTAGGGAGTGATGAGGATTGGTCAGTGGGATGGGTAGGGCGGATAGGTGGGAGAGAAGATGGACAGGCTGTATTAGGTCAAGGAGGTGGGGATGAGAGGGAGGGTTGGTCATGGGATGGGCAGATTCTGAAACTGGTAAAATCCACATTTAGGCCATTGGGCTGTAGGCTCCCGAAGCAGAATATGAATTGCTGTTCCTCCAGTTTCTGGGTGGCGTCATTGTGACACTGGAGGAGGCCCAGGATGGACACGCCACCCAGGGAGTGGGAGGGGGAGTTTAAATGGTTCATGACTGGAAGGTGGTGTTGTTTGCCTCAACTGCATCCCTTGTGTTTGCCACACCTCTGCACTCTCATCCCGTCCCCCCCCAACAAAGACAGAGAATCCCCCTTGTCCTCACGTATCATCCCACCTACCTCTGCATCCAGTGTATCATTCTCCGCCACTTCCACCACCTACAATCTGACCCCACAACCAAAGAGATATTTCTCTCCCCACCCCTATCTGCCTTTCGTAGGGACTGCTGTCTCTGCAACTCCATTGTCCGCTCCACACTCCCCACTAACCCCAACACCTTTCCCTGCAACTGCAGGAAGTGCTACACCTCCTTTCAAGGCCCAAAATGCACCTTCCACGTTAGATAGGGGTTCACCTGCACATCCATCAACTTGGTCTACTGTATCCACTGTTCCCGATGTGGCCTCCTCTACATTGGTGAGACCAAGCGGAGACCCTGAGACCGCTTTGTAGAGCACTTGTGCTCCTGTTCACGACAAACAACAACACTTCCAGTCATGAACCATTTAAACTCCCCCTCCCACTCCCTGGGTGACGTGTCCATCCTGGGCCTTCTCCAGTGCCACAGTAACACCACCCGCAAACTGGACGAGCAGCACCTCATATTCTGCCTCGAGTCTACAGCCCAATGGCCTAAACATGGATTTTACCAGTTTTAAAATCTCCCCACCCCCGGCCTCATCCCATGACCAAACCTCCCTCTCGTCCCCGCCTCCTCCTTGACCTGACACAACCTGTCCATCTTATCTCCCACCTATCTGCCCCTCCCACCTCACTGACCACTCCCCACCTGCACTCGCCTATCACCATCCCACCTACCTTCCCCAGCTCCACCCCTCCTCTCTCTCTTTATTTCTGAGCTCCCTTCCACCTCCCCATTTTTGAAGAAGGGTCCTGACCCGAAATATCAAGTTTCCTGCTCTTCTGGTGCTGCCTGGCCTGCTGTGTTCATCCAGCTGTATGCTGTGTTATCTCTGACTCCAGCATCTGCAGTTCTTACCTCTGATGAAATTCAGGTGATTTTTGTTTCTAAATGTGGTGACTGTGCTGTGCAGTAAATTTCCTCAATTCAATTGCTAAGCGAACATGTAACAAAGACTTTATCATAAATGTTGGATTTTTAATTTGGCTCTTACTGTTTGAGTCAGAAGGTAATGGGTTCAAGTATCACTCTAGAGACTTCAACATGAAATTCAGGCTGATGTTGCAGCACAAGAATGGAGTACTCCTGTCATTCAAATGGTATGTGATTACCAAAATGAGGTTGGATTTGCAATATTAATTCTTCAACCAATATAGCTAAAAGGATGACCTCATTAATCTCATTGCCCTTTCTGGGAGCTTGCTGTGCACAAATTGATACTGCATTACCTATGTTACAGTTGGAGTTGGAGAATGGATCCAAGAAGGAGCAAGGCATAAATATCATGTGTTCTCATGTCATTAAGTGGTTAACCTGAGAGCTGCTTTCTTCCACTGTTGTATGGACTGGTAGGCAGGCTAGTCTGCAGATTGTCCACTTGTAAAGGAAGGAATATGTCAGCAAATCTGAGAAATGAGTAAAAGACATAGTAATTGTAGTTTTTTTTTTAACCACCCCAAAATAAGCTGGAGAAAAGGGGTGTTGTATGAATTGTTGAATGTGACTTTCTTGCCATTATGCTCAAAGCTCTGTGAAGAGAAGTCGCTGAATCCAATGATGGGAAGTGAAACAGAAGCTAGAAGTAAGCAAAGTGGAACATGTTGGCAGTAACAACTGTACCATGAACGTAAATGATTTCTGGTCCGATCCTGCCAATTTGAGTACCTATCCATCATCCCCACTTTATGTTGCCTACCACTCAACCAATTTCCCATCCATGTCAGCAATTTACTGTCCAGTCTGTAGGCTTCTATCTTAGTTAATGGTCTCTTATGTGGGACTTTATCAAATGCTTTCTGAAAGTCCAAATAAACAATATTCCTCCATCCACTATCCCAGTCACCATTTTTCAAAACAATTCCATGTCTTGAATCCATGTTGGCTCTCTCTGATTAACTGAAAATGTTAAGATGTTCAGTTACCCCATTCTTGATTATAGATTCCAACATGTTCCCCGCCAATCAATATTAGGCTAATTGGTCTCTAATTGCCTGCTTGTCCTCTTTTCTTTTCATCCTCCTTTTAAAAAGAAATCAGATCGTGCAATTTTCCAATCCAGACGGCAGCTCCTGTATCGAGGGAACTCTGAAAGATTATAGTTAGGGCATGTACAATGTGTTCCCCTACTTCATTTTAACACACTTAGATGGAAACAATCAGGTCCTAGTGACAAAAATGGAAGTTGCTGGAAAAACTCAGCAGGTCTACCAGCATCTGTAGAGAGAGAGTAGAGTTAACATTGAGTCCAGTGACTGTCCTTCAAGTCCTGGGATTTGTCACTCTTAGTTCCATTAATTTCCTTATGTGTTTTACTTCTGTTAATTTTATTCCGTTACTGTCCCTGATCCACTATTAATTAATTTCCTTGGGGCCTCTGGAAAGCTATTCTCTTTTTCCGGAGTAAATACCGAGGCAAAGTAATTACTCAACATGTCTGCCACATTCCCCACAGTCATTGACCATATCCCCACTTTCAGTCTACAGTGGGCCAAAAGCGCTCCTGACCACCCACTTTCCCTTTTTACATTACAGTCAAATTCCTTTTTTTTAATTGATTTGGATATCACTGGCAAGTTTTCTTTTCATAATCCCTTTCTAGAAGGTTTTAAGATGGGACAGTGGATGCTGGGACGTTGAGTAAATTTAATTAAGAGGTGGGCAGATTTTTAAATTAGTAATGGTCTGAAGGGTTATGGGGAGCAGGCAGGAGACTGGAGTTGAGGGCACAATAAGATCTGCCATGATTTGTATCGGCTCGGGCTGAATTGCCTACTCCTGCTACATGCTCTTATGTTATAAACGGACAACCGAGAGAAATATTCCACTAACACAAATGCTGTGGATGAGCAGAGAACCATGGATAAAATCTAAATGCTAAGAAAAAAGCAGATAAGGATTAGAAAAGTTTGGACAACAATGAAATTAAATCAGTGGAATATTTATTGAAAAACAGTGAACATAAAAATCAAATGGTACAGGGGTCATCAAAAGACACCAGTTTAAACCCTTACATGCTGATTGAAATGCTGATGCTGATTGAATTATTTTGCCTTAGCTTCTGCTAAGGAGACTTAACAGGAGAGGGATTGTGACATTACAAGAAATATATCAACTGAGTGAAAGAAAGGGGGGCTGGTG